TTTCTGAAGAAGGGTCTCGGCCTGAAACGTCAGCCTTCCTGCTCCTCTGATGCTGCTTGGCCTGCTGTGTTCATCCAGCTCTACACCTTATTATCTCAGATTCTCCGGCATCTGCAGTTCCTACTACCAGGGAAAATGATCTGCTGTCTTCTGGTTGAAATCATAACTAGCGCAACGAATGATGATTATGGTTGTTGGAGGTCAGTCATCTCAACTTCAAGACATCTCTGCCTGTGTTCCCCAGGGTAGTGTCCTAGGCCCAACCACCTTCAGCTGCTTCAACAGTGACCCCTCCATCATAAGATCAGATGTGGCAATGTTTGCTGCTGATTACACAATGTTCAGCACTAATTCGTAAATGCCTCAGGTACTGAAACAGTCCATGTCCAAATGAATATTCATATTTGGGCTGGCAAGTGGCCAGGAACATTTTGTGTCTTGCAAGTGACAGACAATGACCCTGTCCAACAAGAGAGAGAATTGAATGCAAATGAACAATGGCATTGCTGTCAATGAATCTCCCACTAGAAGTATGGGGGGAGGGGTGAATGGTAACCATTGGCCAGAAACTGAATTGATTTATCCATGTTGAAGACTTTATATTAACCAACTTTCTTTTAGAGAAACTAAAGCAGGGTCACTGGATCTGAAACATTAATTCTGCTTTCTCTCCACAGATGCCAAGTTTCTCCAGGAATTTTTGGTTTTGTTTGATTTCCAGCATCCCCAGTTCTTTGTTTTACTGACTCAAAAGATTGATCAGCCACCTTTACCTGTTGAGAGATAGGTATTAACTATTACCAACATGTGACTTCTCTTCTTTTACCCAAATGTAGCTGCAAATACAAGCTGTGGCTTGCCCTTGAAAACATTAAGGAAGACGCCGATGTATACATGCGGAACGTACCTGGTTATGCTTAGTGCACCACCAGGAGGATCTGGGAGTTCTGCAACACGCTCTCTGTTTGGTGGCACAAGTGGATTGTCCTCTTTAAAAGGTAAGTCAAATGTGCTTTTCAAAATCCTTTTCAACTTAAGTATGGATGCTGAAACCACTGCCTTTAATATGCTAGTTATTTGAAGTGTGTAAATCAGTATTGTGTGGTATCAGTACTTGAAGATCATTGACAGCAGTATACTTCATTGGTGTGCCAGTGTACTGTTTGTGATGTTTCAAATTCCTGCCATCAATACAGTAACTATTTGTTCAGCTGCACAGGATTATTTGCCTGAAAGTACTATTTTGAATTTGAAGGGTTGTGAATATCTGGATATTTTTTAAGAGACCAATGAATGGGTATTGAAAATTGTTTTTAATAAAGCATTTCTTGAAAATCACCTGTCTTGTGGTAACTGCTTGTTTACTGCAGATCCCCCTGTCTGGCTTTACAATTGTCGGGTTATAGCTTTGGTTTCAGCAATTTAGTTAGATTTTTCAGTCGATGGCCTGCCTGACAGCTCTCCTGTTTCTGGAAAAAAATTTGTGGGTTGGCGTGGTACCTGAATCTCTATCTAGTCTGAACCCTCCATTCTTAAGAGCTTCCAGAACAATCCTCCTCATTTTTGTTTCCTGAGTGAGCTGCTATGGAAAAGCTCCTTCAGACATCCAGTTATGTTTCGTGACACCAATCTACACATGCCAGAACGCTACACTGACAGCCATCTGAACATTGTACACCATGTACTTCAATTCCCATCGATTAGTAGTACGTTTTGGCCAAAATTGATTTTGACCATTGTAGTTTTTCCTCCTCAAAGCGAATCTCTCCACAGAAAAGTCCTTTTGCTTTACCCCTTTTGGCATTGAACACATTTTTTTGCTTATAATAAAACATTTCTTTATTAAGTATTCTAGTTGACGGATTTTTTATTTTAATACAGAAAAAGTGTGAGATTGGCCATTTTGGGAATCAATAGAACAATAAATTTTATGTTGTGACCGTTGGAATAGTGAAGTAAAAAAAGACAGTGCACTCCTTCCATCTCAATTGTAATAAGTCAAAGTTTAGAAGGACAGAATGTACATTTGCGCCTCTGGGATGCGTGGAGTGAGAGTCAACAAATTTCATGCATGAGCTTTTGTGGTAGCTCTTACAGTGAGGTGTAGAGGACTTTAATTGCTTAGTACAAACTATACTGGTTATGTACAAAACCAGTTAACTGTTAAGTGTCTGTAAAAGTAGAAAATACAGAAAACAGCAAGTTGGGCAACATCTTTGAAGATAATATTTTAGGTCACTCCTTTTGCCAATAGTTGCATGTTATTTTAATTCCCGAACCCATTCCACTCTAGTCTTGGCACTGAGCCCATTTCTGCTGAAACTCTATGGTAACTCAAAGAACAGCAGCCCCTCTTATATACTTAACGTTGAGTTAAGTGATATGAAATCATAACCACACTTTTTTAAACAGACAGTTGTGATTCATTCTCATGTCACTTCCTCTTGAATCTCCTTTTTGTTTAGTTACTTGTTCCATTGCCAGTCTCACCATTTATTCTATTAAAGAACTTGGTTGAAGTTTGTCCCTCTATACTTTCTGTGCCTCTGAACTTAAAAGCCTCATAACTTCTCTTCATATTTTTTGAGTTCTGTAATTGACTTAAAGTATTAACTGTTTTTCCCTTTGATATTGTCTGATTACCTCCGTATTACCAGCACTTTCTGTTTTCATTGTCGATTTCCAGAATTTAGAGTAATTTGTTTTTGTATCAGAGTTGATTGTTCCTAGCACATTTTTATTAAGAAACAATTTGTTAGAATTAGAAGTACTTCTGACACAATACTTAATATCAAGTTTTTTGTAAAAATGCACTGATTTTGCATAGTTAGATATTAACTGTTATTATCAAATAAGTGTTACAGTGAACAGACTTTACAGTTTCTTAAAATAATATGCAAGGAAAACTTTTAATGTATGAGCACAATAGTGTGTGAAGATTTAAAGCATCCACCTCAGACCACACCAAGGTCTAGAAAAATTAAGAAAAGATTTCTGGAGGTTAATGGCTGAGGGGTGGCTGGCAACTCTGGAGTCTAGTCATGGTGATAAGCAAAGATGAGGTACTTTTTTGTTATGGGAATTAAAGGTTTTAAAAACAAAGTAATTGAATTGAATCTGAGATACTCTCATAAAGTTTCAGCTGGCCATCAGGCATCCTAGGGCTGAGCTACCTGTACCACTTGCTTGACTAGAGAAATAAATGTGTTTGGAGGTGAGCTAGCATTTATCAATAATAATGAGTTAAATAAACTGAATTTAGGGGATTTGAGGAATCTGTGAGGCAGTGCTTTAGGAGTCTTAGTCCTTGAGCTTATGTAGCAGGTTTGAGATTCTCTGTCCCTGTGTGGCAAGAGCACAGGCTGTAGGGAGGATGAGCAAGCTGGCAATAGCACCATAGTGAAGAGGGCCATTTAAGAGGGTGGAGAAATGTAGTTCTAGTTGGGGATGTGAAGTCAGGGGAATAGACAGTGTACTCTGTGGCCAGCATCGAGAGTCCAGAAGGCTGTGTTGTCCGTCTGGTGCCCGGGTTCAGGATATCTCATCTAGGCTGTGAAGGAACTTGGAATGGGAGGGGAAGGATCTAGTTGTTGTTTCCCACATAAGTACCAATGGTACAGGTAAAATGAAGAAAAAGGTTTTGCTGAAGGAATACGAGCAGTTAAGGTCTAAATTTAAAAGACAGAACCAAAAAGATGGTAATCTCTGGATTACTCCCTGGGCCACAAGCTAATTGCCACACAGTCAACAAGATTAAAGAGAAATGCATGGTTGAAAGATTGGTGTGGGAGATATGGGTTCAAATTCATGGGACATTAGCACCTGTACTGGGGAAAGAGGGAGATGTTCTGATGGGACAGAAATCAAAGGAAAAGGTAGGGATTACCAGAAAATATAAAGGAAGCGACTGAATGTGTGAATGTCATATTGCACCAAGAAACCATGTGTATGGAAATTTGATAATAATAGAACAAACGTAAAGGCTTCGTTTCTTGATGCACAAAACATTCGGAATAAGGTAGACAGACTGGTGCAAATTGAGGTAAAAGAATGTGATCTCAAAGCTGTTATGGGAACTTGGTTACAAGGAGATCAAAACTGAGAAACATTCAGGGATGTTTGATCTTTTAGAGAGACAGGAGGGATGGAAAAGGTGATGGAGAACCACTGTTAATAAGAAATGAAATGATAATTGAGAGAGATGATCTGGGCTTGGATGATGTAGAATCCATTTGGGCTCAGGTAAAGGCAAAGAACAAGGGAAGAAAAACATTGGTAGGTATTGTGTACAGACTCCCAAACTGTAGCCACTCTGTCGGAAAGGCTATAAATCAACAAATAACAGGAGCATTTATAAAGACTAGAGCAATAACTGTGTGGGTGACTTTAATCTTGTTGTTTTGGTTAATCAAGTTGGAAAGGGTAACTGTGATATTTTCTCAGAGCAATATGTCATGGAGTCAACCAGGGAGCAGGCTGTTTTGGATCTGTTTGTGGGTAATGAGGCATGTTTAATCAATGAGTTTAGCAGAAGATCCTCCAGGAAGTATTAATCATAACATAATAGAATTTAATATTCAGATTGAGTGTGAGAAACTTGGGTTGGGACCTAGACTGCTTAACTTAAAGGGAATTACAATGAAATGAAGATAGAGTTAGCTGAAGGGAACAGGCAGAATTAGCAGGAATGACAGTAAGTAAGCAGTGGCAGACATTTGAGGAGGTAATTTGTGACACTCAGCAAAAATATATCCCAGTAAGGAGGAATGATTCTAAGAGACAGATGAACCAACTATGGCTAACCAAAGAAGTTGAGTGTATTACGTTGAAATAAAAAGCACAAAAGCCAGCGATAGCCCCGAAGACTGGAATAAATTGAGAATTCAGTTTTGAGGAAGTGTCACTGGACCTGAAACATTAACTTAGACTTCTCTGTACATGTGCTGCTAGCCCTGCTGAGCTTTTCGAGCAGTTTCTGACTTCCAGTACCTGCAGTTCTTTCGGTGACAATTAGAGCTTTACCAGGATGTTGCCGGGAATGGAAGGTTTGAGTTATAAGGAGAAGCTGGATAGGCTGAGACTTTTTTTTTAACTGGAGCACAGGAGGCTGAGGGGGTGACCTTCTAGAGGTTTATAAAGTCATGAGGGATATAAGGTAAGGTGAATGGTAGATGTCTTCCCCTAGGATGGGAGATTTCAAGACCATGGGGCGTATTTTTAAGGTGAGAGGAGAAAGATTTAAAAAAGACATGAGGGGCAGGTTTTTTTTTTGTGTGGCTTGTATGTGGAAAGAACTTCCAGAGGAAGTGGTGGATGTGGGTACAGTTACAAGTTTAATAAGAAAATTGGATAAGTACGTGAATAAGAAATATTTAGAGGGATGTGGGCCGAGTGCAGGCAGATGGGTCTAGCTTAGTTTGGAATTATGGTCAGTATGGACGATTTGGACTGAAGGGTCTGTTTCCAGGCTGTATGACTCTTGACTCTGTAAGAGCTGCTTTACATATAGGAAGAAAAGAAAGTGAGGTCAAAGTGAGTAAAAGCCCCTTAGAAAATGAATCTAGGGAGGTGTTTATGGGAAACAACAAAATGGCAGAGTTAAACAGCTATTTTGGCTCAATCTTTCTGGTGCAATATCCCATTAGTAAAGCATACAAGAGAAGAATTAAGTACCTTTACCATCTCGAGAGAAGTAGTATTAATCAAACTAATGGGGCTAAAGGCGGGTAAGTCTCCTGGCCCTTATTGGCTTGCAGGGAAATGGGCGTGAGGAATGTCTGATTGGCCATGATCCTGTTGAATGATGGACCAGGCTTGAGGGACTGAACAGCTTACTCTTGTTCCCATTTCTTATAGTTTTGCGGTTTGCATGATTATGAATCATGTGGCTTTTATTGTAAAGTAGGTAATTATGCCCTTTCTATCTTTCACAATACAGTTGAGTATGAACTTTAGTCACTGGGAAGCTAGCAGTCCTTCCACTTGCATTGTATTGTACTTTAACAACAAAATATGGTGTGTATCTGATGAAGTCACCGAATTCAAAACATAAACTGTTTTCTCCCAACAAATGGCCCTTCCCTGCTAGTTTCTCCAGTAGTTTCTATTTTTTGTTTGATTTCCATCATTTGCAATTTTGTATGTTATGTTACGACATTGTGTGTTATCTAGATTTTATTTGCTGCCATTCAGGCAAGGTGCAGTCAAAATACTGGTGGTGTTTGTCACTATCTAGCCAATAGCTTTCATTTAAAATCTAATACAAAGATTTATAATTGTATAGCAGAGATGTCCTGGCCTGAGATTTGAGTGGCGCATCACGTTGCATACCTGACAGTTTTTACATTCAACCCAATTGAACTGTGGCAAACACTCAATTTCATTCTATGTTGAATTCTTGCAAAAATGCTTGGTGTTAGAATAGAACGTTTAAGTTGTGCAAGATTGGGGCATATACTGGCTCGTCACTTAATAGTCACAGTGATAAGAGCAATTTGAGGTGCTAAATTAATATCACACAATCACAACATAGGATAATATCACATTAAAAGTATGAATTCAAGGAAGGTTCTAAAGCAATGAGTAAAATATTGGTAACTTTGAGTCCTCATTAAAACTTGGTGTCTTTCTGTTCAGTCCTGTCCTCTAGCCTGGTTTTCAACATTTCAGATGGCCAATTTAGCAGCCGAGCAGACTTGATTGATGCCGCTGGCAGTTCTCTTGGGCGTGGAGCTCTGGTTCCAGGACTGGGTAAGGAGAATATATTGCAAGTTGAATGATTCAAATAATATTGAAACCTTTTTAAGTTAAAAGTAGGTTGTAAACCATGAGCTCTTAACATTGCCTATTACTATAAAGTAGCTTATTCTAAGTGACAGGAGATGTAGGTTGCTTTTAAATTTGAAGACCAGGTTCTGTGAGCCCTGCATTTATCTGTCTGGTTCTGCCATTTAGACTATTGACAGTTTTCTATTCTAGAATTAACATTAAAAGCACAATTTAGCTCATGGCTACACTATTCCAAGGTTAAAAAAATTAGTCAATACAAAAACATATTTGCATTTATAAATGAATAATAGGTTCCTTTTCTTTTTGTTCATGGGATGTGCATGTTTCTATTGCCCGTCACTAATTGTGCTTGAAGGTAGTGATAAGGTATTGTCATGCTCTGAGTAATGTCATTATGGCAATTACTTTCCCACTATCCATTTTCTATAGCTACATAATAACTGCACATAGGATAGTACTTGACCTTTTCTGCATTTCTCAGGAAATTTGGAATGTTTGACCAATCAAATTCCAGTATGGATCGATAGGCTTGTCAGAGAGGTCCTATTTGAATTGAGTTTGAGATGCAGCAGCTCTCTTGTCTGGGGTGAACAAACTTGCCAGCTGATTCAAATCGACTGGTGGTCACAGCTGGGTTTTTTATGAGCACCAACATTCAAATTATTTGTTGAGTAAAACAGTTCTCTGACTTGCCTTTTTTTCAAATGTTTATGGAACTGCAAGCACAAAAAAAAAATCAATGCTGAAAAAAGAAATGTTATTGGGATTTAGAAAAGGAGATGACTAATGTGACTCTCCATGCCTGTATTACCTCTGAAAAAGCTATGTCGTTAGTCCAGTTACTTTTTTTGCCTATTACTTTGTAAAATTTGCCTCTAAGTATTTTGTATTTCCTTTTGAAAGTTACTATTGATTCTGCTTCCACCTTCCTTTCAGGTGGCGTATTTCAAATAATATATGATTTGATTTGATTTATTGTTGCATACACCAAAGTGCAGTGAAAAGTTTTGTTTTGCAAACAGTACAGGCAGATCATAGCGAACAAGGACATAATATAGGGTGCTTAGAACGAGGCGTACAAGGTTACAACTGCACAGGAGGTGCACAAAAGATCAACATTAGATTTGAAATTAGAGAGGTCCATTTAGTCATCTAATAACAGGAGGGAAGAAGCTGTTCTTGAACATATTGGTGCGTGTGTTCAAGCTCCTGTATCTTTTGCCTGACAGAAGAGGTTGGAAGAGAGTAATACTGGGTTAGGAGGGGTCTTTGATAATGCTAGCGGCCTTTCTGCGGCACCAAGAAGTGTAAATGGAGTCCATGGTTGGGGGGTTGGCGTCCGTGATGGTCTGGTCTGTGCACACAACTTCCTGTAGTTTCTTATAGTCCAGGACAGAGTAATTGCTGTACCAAGCCATTATGCACCCAGATAGAATGCTTTCTATGGTGCATTTGTAAAAGTTGGTGAAGGACCTTATGGACCAAATTTCTTAAGCCTCCTGAGGAAGAAGATGCATCGTTGTGCTGCCTTGACTGTCTGATCAGTTTGAGAGGTCTAGGACAAATTGTTGGTTATCATCACTCCTCAGAACTTGATGCTCTCGACCCGCTCCACCTCAATTCTGTTGTTGTAGATTGTGGCGTGTCCTCCTTTTTTTGTGAAGTCAATGATCAGTTCTTTTATTTTGCTGACATTGAGGGAGAAATTATTAATGCACCATGACACCAAGCACTCTATCTCCTTCCTGTATTCTGACTCGTCACTGTTTGATATCTGGCCTCCAACTGTGGTGTCATAAGCAGGCTTGTAGATGGCGTTCGTATGGAATTTAGCTATACATCCTTAAGTGTACAGTGAATACTGTAGGGGGTTGTGTATGCATCCTTGTGGGGTTGAGAATTATTGTGGAGGAGATGCTGTGTCTGTCTTCACTGATTCCAGTCTGTGGGTCAGCAAGCTGAGGATACAGTTGTGGGGGGCTGAGCTGAGACCTAGGTCTGAGTTTTGAAATTAGTTTGGTTGATATTATGGTGTTGAAGGCAGTGCTGTAGTTGATGAGTAGGAGCCTGACATGGGTGTCCTTGTTATCCAGATGTTCCAGAGATGAGTGTAGGACCAGGGAAATGGCACCCGCTATGGATGTGTTTCACTGAAAGGCAAATTGCAGAGGATTCAGGCAGGCTGGGGGGCTAGAGTTGATGTAAGCTATAACTAACCTCTTGAAGCAATTTGCTGCATTGAAAAACATTAATCTTTTCTAGCTTTGATGCCACTTACCTCAAGTCTACACTCTAAGTCAGTGTGGAAACTGTTTCTCCTTATCTAATCTACCAAAATCCCTTTATAATTTGAAAACCTCTTAAAAGTCCACTTAACCTGGCCTGTTCCAAGGAGTATATTCCCATATTCACTATTCTGACTGCATAACTGAACTTGCTGATCCCTGGCATTATGAATTGTAGCCTATTCAGTAATTCATAGAAGAAAGCAGATCAAAGATCAGTATTTACTTAACTAATTTAAAAGGAAATGAAGCGTAATCTCTCATCTTCTGATTAAATCCATAGTTGGTGGAAGGTTTACTTCTGTGTGATCAAACTGCATACGTAAGTTGTCTTAGAAATTCTTGAAGCTCTAACTGTCAGTATTGGAATGAAAAGATAGCTATGCACTGCACTGGAAGAAACTTGTGGTGCAGATATCACTCGGTCAATGTTGCATATGACCGGTTAACCACAGCAATATTGGTGAAAGTCTGGAACCTGATCACAACCTTATTTTCTTGATGAGAGGGATAGGCCTGGATTAAACGAAGGAGAAAACAAGCTGTGCTCCCTTTGCTAAATAATTACAAGAAATTCAAGTTAGAATTGTTATGGTGGACTTGATTGTTGTTTCATAGAGAAGTACCTCCCCTTTGCTTTATATTTATTGGTAGTGATGCACCTTTTAAAATGTAGGCTTTTATGATATTAGTTGGTTGCATCTTAATAATTTTCTGTACTAGGAGCCTGCTATGATGCCATGAATAATATGATTTGGACATGCTCTAGTGACTACATGGATCAATGGTGTAACCCTGGTAACCAGGCCTTTCATCATGTCTGTCAAAGACTGGGTGTTAGCCACATCATCCCTGAACCAAAAGGTTAGTGCATTTGACTGCATTTTCTGGACTTGTATGTTAATTTCCACTACTGGTTTAATTTATGTAATTTGCGTGACTTTATTTTCTGTGCTTGTTGCTCTCCCTTCCCTCCCTCCAATAGTTTAACTTTATTTTTCTTGAAAGGTGCTAAATCATATTGTGTGTGATTGCATCAGGCAATGGCAGAATTATGGTCTCTTGTTCAGATGGCTGTTCTTCATTGACTAATCTAAACAGTAGAATTTAGAGATCAATGCCCAAATTATTTTTTGTTTAGTTTCTAGCGAGGATTACCAGTAATGATTGGAAATGGAAAGCTCATTACTCCTCTTCCCCACAACCCACAAAATCAAGAGTGGCAAAAGCAATGCAATCTCTGACCCAAGATCAGTTAACTCAGCACACTGAAGTGATTGTAAAGCAGCAGTTTCGTCTTTGAGTTGAGTCTTTTCTGTTCCACCAGTCCTTCCTTTTGGATCATCTGAATCTAACAATATCACTTTGACATAGACACACATGTATTTGTGCACAAGTCTTAAGTGTAGTGCTTCCAAAACTGCCTGAATAAATAACAGTTTTTGCTTTGTAGTATGCGAACTATATTTAGTGCCCAAGGTCAGCTTAAGTCGGGGACAAACGTAGACTATTAATAATGCAGCACAATCTATTGAAGGAGTTTGACATTTGGTGATCTCTAGTAGGACTATAAAATTTAAAAATGCCTTTTATGTTGGATTGTTGTTGATCATTCAAAATTGTTAGTTGCATACTGGCGGCAATATCCGAAGAAAGATAATACCCAAATAGTACAAAATTGATGATGTGTAACAAATTGTAGTTTTATATTTGTATTGAGAGAGATCATAAGTCACTGCTTTTTAATTCCTACTGTCTGTGTTCCGTGTTTTAGATGAATCTGTGTCAACTAGTAATGTAATTAACCAACTTTTGCATCATGTGGGAGCAATGTGCATTCATCAGCTAAATTTACTGACTGCTAGTGCTAATCTACCAATCTCGAACTTCCTGGGAAAGCAACACCCCATTGAAGCTCAGCACCTCAGTAGTATATGTGACATTATGGAGAAGGCCTTGGCAAATAAGGATGCCTGCATTATTCGCTGTATTCTTATTGTTTTTCAGGTATGGTATATCATTGCATTTTCGCTTTGACCTTTGAAATAATGAAATTTGTAGACACACTCGAATTCAAAGATTTACCTTTCAAGTGTGGTACTTGGAATGTTTATCTATACAAGGCTGCGTGAAGAAGTAATGAGAAAATCTCTGAGAGATAGTAAGAACTACTGATGCGTCACCTTTCCCTGCAACCGCAGGAAGTGCTACATCTGTCCCTACACCTTCCCCCACTAACCTCCATTCAAGGCACCAAGCCAACCTTTCACATCAGACAGAGGTTCACCTGCACATCCGTCAATGTAGTCTATTGCATCCGCTGCTCCCAATGTGGCCACCTCTACATCGGTGAGACCAGGCGGAGGCTCGGGAACTGCTTCGTAAGAGCACCTGTGCTATATTTGCAACAAACAACACCTTCCTGTCGCAAACCATTTCAACTCCCCCCTCCCACTCCCTGGGTGACATGTCCATCCTGGGCCGCCTCCAGTGTCACAATGACGCCACCTGAAACTGGAGGAGCAGCACTCCATATTCCGCCTTAGGAGCCGACAGCCCAATAGCTTAAATGTGGACTTTTACCAGTTTCAAAATCTCCCCACCCCTGGCCTCATCCCACGACCAACCCTCCCTCTCATCCCCGCCTCCTTGACCTGACACAACCTGCCCATCATCTCTCCCACCTATCCGCTCCTCCCACCTCACTGACCAATCCCCAACACTCCCTACCTGCACTCTCATATCACCATCCCATCTACCTTCCCCAGCCCCAGCCCCCCTCTATTTATTTCAGAGCTCACTTCCCCCTCCCTGATTTCTGAAGAAGGGTCCCGACCCAAAACTTCAACTTTCCTGCTCCCCTGATGCTGCCTGGCCTGCTGTGTTCCTCCAGCTCCACACTCTGTTATTTATGTAAACATCTCTCACTGTTTTAATCTGACAGCAGAGCTGCCACCTTGTGCAAAAGTTTAAAACTAGACTTGAATCACTAAGTGATTCATGTTGCTGAGGTACTTGTTAGACCTGGATGGCTAATTTAGTCAGTTAATTGTTGTGCAGTGCTCTCAGGGACTGAAGCTAAGCATCATGAAGCTCTTGTTTTTTCTGCACCTTGCTTTATTATCTAATAGGCAGAAGCAAGTTTAAAGAGACCAGATTCTGCACCTACTGCATGAGGCTACAGTACTAAATCACCCTCTGTACAAACAAAATTACAAGAAAAAAAACTTCTTTGGCGTAAAATGCCTTCAGTGTTAGATTGTTTTGACCTGTCCCATATCACTGAGCGTCATCTTGCCACATTTCTGCTTTCCACATCTTGCTATTCTTCCTCTGCTCCTGATCAGGATTGGAAAAGTCAAAACTTAATTAGTTTGAGACATCTTGCTATATTAAAGCTGTAGACAAATTCAAGTTGTTTTAGTTATTTCGCTAAAGAAAAATAGGGGTGTTGCTTTCAACATTGTACTTCAGTTTTTTTTGGCTAAGGCAGTTGAGAAATTATGTAAGACCATAAGACAGAGGAGGAATAGATATTTCAGCTGATCAAGTCTGCTCCACCATCCAATGAAATCATGGTTAACCTGATAAACTTAAAATATATAACATCAAGTAATATTTAAGTACTCACTTGCATTGCCATAGCATTCAGAGCAATGGACCAAGAGCTGGGAAATAGGATATTTGTTGAGCAGCATGGGCACGGTCAGCCAAATGGCATGTCTCTGGGCTGTAAACATTCAGTCTATGGAAGTTGAGTAAAGATGAACAAGTGGAGTTGAGATACAAATCAGCAACGATATAATTGAATGGTAGAATGGGCCGAAGGAGTTGAAAGGTTCTGAAACTGTCCCCGTTTGAAAGGAAATGCATTACAGTGCCTCCACTTTAAGTAAAGTCTAATTACAGTATGTTGGTAATTTTCTTTAAAGATGTGAACATCGGAATTTAAAGTGGAAAAATATTGGGAATTACATGCAGATAGATAAGACTATATAACACTTTTTTTTGAAGTATGATATTGCTTCTAAATGGAGAGCAGTAAGGAAGTGCTGCAGTATATTTTTAAACTGAAATTTGGTTAGGCTTTTATATGTTAAAAATCCACAGCTAGTGGGCTAATCTGATTATAATAGTACTCCTTTCTTTCCTTTATAGGTAATATTCAAATTTTTCTTCAACCCGCAAACAGAGCGAAACCGTGAGATTGTACGTCGATCTGAACAACTGCTCTGGCAGCTTTTAAAAACTCCTGTTAATGAAATTGGTGAAGAGATTCAGAAGGAGGTGTGTTTGGCTATTAGGTAAGTGATTAATGCTGCAAGGTATGCAGTATTATTATTTTAAAATCTTTTGTCTTAAAATGTGTTTTAGTTACATGTATTAATGTTTTCAATCATCCTGCTGGCACTTAATGCTGAAATCTGAGAAAATCTGAGATTGAGGAGGTAATACACTAACCTGAATTTTGTATAACTGTTCGAATCTCCTACATGAGGTTTGTGCTTATAGGCCCAAACATTTTGATTTTTATAAATGGGAAACACGGCTGATTCGGTGGGGTGCTCTTGCCATCCATCAAGTTAGTCAAGATGCAACACCTAATCTCTAATTGAGAATTATTTTGGTTATTGTGAGCCCTAGAGGCTAAATGGAAATGTAGGTTGAAGAATGTTAATTAATTTAAAAGGAGTGTTAGATTTTGCTGTTTTCAAATGGAATGTTGGTCGAAATATAAAAATTGACATTAGCCCCCTTTGTTTCATGAGAGGAAAAGTGCTTGTTTTCTATTCCCAGTGGTTGCTTAGTAAATGTACGTTAGGGAGAAGATTGCACGCAGCTGTTCTACCTAGTCTGGCAAAGCTAAGAGTTGAGAAATTTTCTAACAAGCCTGTTCAGAAATGCTACTACACATCTCTGGGACAGGTAGGCTTTGAACCCAGGCCTCTTGGCTTAGAGGTAAGGACACTACCACTGCACAATAGGAGCCCCAGTCTTTTATGTAAGCTCAGAATGCTCTTGAGCTGTGGGGGTGTCCCTACCTCTGAATCAGGAAGCATGGGTTCAAGTTCCATGTGTGTAATAACATCTTTGGACAGGTTGACTAGGAAAATATACACATAAAATGCATTCCCATTGAAGCAGTGGAGTATACCCCATCCAAAGATGTAGAACAAAGAACAGTACAGCACAGGAACAGGCCCTTCAGCCCTCCGAGCCTGAGCCGACACATTTTGCCCTTCCATACGAAAACTGTCTTCACTTGAAGATCCGTATCTTCTATTCCTTTCCTATTTATGTACTCATTCAGGTGCTTCTTGAATGCTGCTATTGTGTCTGCTTCCACCACCACCTCTGGAAATGTGTTCTAGGCACTCACCAGCTTTTGTGTGAAAAATGTGCCTCACACATGTCTATTAAACTTCCCCCCTCGCACCTTGAACCTGTGTTCCCTAGTAATTGAACCCACTACCCTGGGAAAAAGCTTCACTTTCCATTCCATCTATGCCACTCTCAATCTTGTAAACCTTCAGGTCACCCCTTGACCTCCTGCTTTCCCGTAAAAACAAACCCAGTTTATCCAACCTTTCTTCATGGCTAAAATTCCCTATACCAGGCAACGTCCTTGTAAAACTTTTCTGTACCCTCTCCTAGATATCCACATCCTTCTGGTAGTGTGGTGACCAGAACTTTATGCAATATTCCAAGTGTGGCCTAACTGAAGTTCTGTAAAGCTGCAGCATAACTTGTCTATTCTTTGTACTGAATGCCCCTTCCAATGAAGGCAGGCATGCCAAAGGCCTTTTTTACTACTTTATTTACCTGCACTACCATCTTCATTGATCTGTGGACCTGCACACCCAAATTCCCCTGCATTTCAATACTTTTAAGGGTTCTGCCATTCACTGTATAATTTCCACCTGCACTTGACCTTCCAAAATGTGTCACCTTACATTTGTCTGGATTAAACTCTATCTGTCATTTTTCTGCCCATGTCTCCAACTGATCTATATTCTGCTCTACCCTCTGACAATCCTCCTCAATATCCGCAACTCCACAAATCCTGTAATGTCTACAAACCTGATTTAGACCAGCTACATTTTCCTTCATATCATTAATGTAGATCACGAACAGCAGAGGTCCCAGTACTGATCTCTGTGGAGCACCACTGGTCACAACTGTCCATTCTGAAAAGCATCCTTCCGCCTCTACCCTCTGTCTCAAGACCAAGCCAGTTCTGCATCCATCTTGCCAGCTCACTCCTGATACCATGTGACTTTGGTGCCAGTCTGCCATGAGGAACCTTGTGAAAGGCTTTACTGAAGTCCATGTAGACAATATCAACTGTTTTTCCCTCATCAACCATCTTCATCACATCCTCAAAACTTGATCAAGTCAGTGAGGCACAACCTTCCTCGCACAAAACCATGCTGTCTATTGCTAGTAAGTCCATTCACTTCTAAATGCGTACAGATCTTGTCCCTGAGAATAATTTCCCTACCACCGACATGAGACTGTCAGGTCTGTGACTTTCAGGATATTCCTGTTACCTTCCTTAAACAATGGGACAGTGTTGACTATTCTCCAGTCCTCTGGGACCTCACCTGTGGCCAAAGAGGATACAAAGATGTCTATCAATGCTTCAGCAATTTGATCTCTTGCCTCCCTCAATATTCTGAGATAGATCCCATCAGGACCCGGGGGCATAGCTACCTTAATATTTTTTAAGATACACAACACCTCTTCCTTTTTAGTAGCAACTTGGCTTAGAAACTTGATACTCTCTTCCCTGAGATCATCCTGCACCAATTCCTTCTCTTTGATGAATACCGACACACAGTATTCGTTTAGGATCTCACCTTCCCCTTCTGGCTCCACACATAGATTCCCTCTTTGTCCTTGAGTGGGCCAGTCCTTTCCCTGGCTACCCTTTTGCTTTTTATATATGTATAAAACCAGCCTTGGGATTCTCCTTAATCCTGTTTGCTAACAACGTTTCCTGACCCCTTTAGCCCTTCTAACTCCTTGTTTAAGTTCTTTCCTACTTTTTCCTTATTTGCTTCAAGGGCTTCATCAGTTCCCATCTTCCCAGACCTTATGTATGTTTCCTTTTTCTTTTTAACCAAGGTCATACATCCCTGGTTATTCAAGGTTCCCGTAACTTGCCATACCTATCCTTCCAGTATGTGCTGCTCCCGAACTCTTATCAGTTGCTGTTTTGAAATACTCCCATGTGTCCAGTGTGAATTTGTCGTCAAACAGCCGGCTCCAATCAACATTCTCCAGTTCCTGCCTAATATTGTTGTAGTCCACCTTCCCCCAAATTAACACCTGAGGACTGCTGTTATCCCAATCCATGAGTATTTTAAAACTCACTGTATTGTGGTCACTACTCCTGAAATGCTCCCTCACTGAAACTTCACTCACCTGGCTGGGCTCATTTCCCATAACCAAGTCCAGTATAAGGGTCTAGGCCCGAAACGTCAGCCTCTCTGCTCCTATGATGCTGCTTGGCCTGCTGTGTTCATCCAGCCCTGCACCTTGTTGTCCCAGTATAACCCCTTCCCTGGTTGGATTGTTCACAGACTGTGTGAAGAAATCCTCCTAAGTGGTCCTTACAAATTCTAACTCCTCCAATCCCCAGCATGAAGTGAGTCCGAAACAATATAAGGCAAGTTTATCAATCAAATCACCACAATCTCATGAGCGTTAGCTGCTTGTAACTGCTGGTGCTTGTGACACCATCCATAAAAAGTGTTGACTGTGAGGTGAGACGTTGAGAGCCTGTTAGTACTAAAAGCACAATTCCAAATGTGAGAGTTTGTTTTAATGAGAGCAAGCAGAGCAATTTAAAAAAAACATAGTTCAGGAAAAACTGATGGTTAAATGAACAGCAAACCAGTTAAATGCTTTGATTCTTTGCCGTAAACCAATAAATTGATTTTTTAAAAGGTATTTATTTCCCCTCTGTTATTTTCTGCTGACCCAATAAGGGAAAATTATCACCATCACCATCACCATCTGTCCATTCCCAATTGCCCTTGAATGGAATGGCTTAATAAGCAGTTTTAGAGCCCAGTTAAGAGTTAACTACATTGCAGTGGCTTTTGATCAGGCAAGAATGGCAGATTTCCTACCCTAAAGGACAGTAGTGACAAGGTGGGCCTTTAAAGTAACTGAGTTTCATGGTCACCATTACTGGGACAAACTTTGAATTCCATATTATTTTTGTTAATTGAATTTAAATTTCACCTGCTTTCCTGCTGGTTTTAAATTCATGTCCTCAGTGTTAGCCTTGGTCTCTGGATTACTAGACTTGTTGCATTACAAGTAAGCTGCAGTTTCCCTCCAGTTCAACCACCAGGTGTCACTTACTTTTATGTTTTATTGAACTTTTACAGTCAGCGCGTGGCGATATTCCAGCAATGCTGTTGGTTAGGAAGTTCTAGGATATCAATCCAAGCATGATAAAGGAACAAAACATATCTTCAAATGAAGATGCGTGGGCTAGGAAAAGGTCTTAGAGGTCCATGATGTTCCCATGAGCCTGATACTCTTGCCCTGCTAGGCAGGAAAGCTCACACTCCGTGCTGTTCTTAATCTGACTGCACCTTGATATTTTGAGCACTAATTTATCTATTAGGGAAGTTTTATTATAGTTTTGTAAAATTTGGCCCTTTAAGCTGTTCAACAGGTTTTTTTTTGCTCAATAGGAAACCATCAATTAATATTCATGGGATATCGCTAAAGGCTTTCAGTGACCATTCTTTTTGTTGTGGACTGTTCTGGGAGAATCATTCTGTAAAATGATGTTAGTTGAGCGTTGTCATTTGTTTTCATGTGAAACCGTTGAGGACTATGAGAGGCATATTTCAAAGGAACAGGTTGTGCAGCAATCACATGGCCTTTCTTGGTCCTTTAAATTCCAGTGATTCAGCGTCTTGTCACCATTGGAGAATGGTAATTGTATAAAATTCATTTTTGTAATGAAGCCCTGTTGGGGGAAAAAGGCTGACCTGAAGTAAAAACAGATTTTTGATTAATGAAATCACAGCAAGGTATTGAAGCCAAAATTTATCTTGATAACATTGCAGCTGAATCCAATTTTATGCCTTCTCCATATACATTTACAAGAGGGCCCTCTTGTGACTCTGAGATCGTGACCCTATCTCTGAGCCAAGAGGCCTGGGTTCTAGTTCTACCTGCTCCAGAGGTATGTAATAACATCTCCGAACAGGTTGATGAGAAAAATAGGTTAATTTTTTTTAAAAATCACTTGCATACTGTCCAATCAGTTCACTAGACAGCTATCTATAATTAGTGATTTGGATGAAGGGACCAAGTGTATGCTAGCTAAATTTGCCAATGACACCAGGATGATAGGAAAGTATGTAACGAGGCAGAGAGTCTGCAAAGACATATAGATAGTGGGCAGAAGTTTGCAAGTTGGAGTATATAGAAAAGATGTAACTTTGTCTGCTTTAGCAGGAAAAGTGGAAACGTAGTATGTTACATAAATGAAGAGGGATCTGTACATCCTAGTATGCAAATCACCAAAAATTGTAGAAAGGTTATAATTGCTTTAGAAACAGTTCAGAGAAGATTCAAGTAACTCATTCCTGGGATAAGAACACATTCTATCAAGAAAGCTTTTTAACCTTTTACACCATTTAGACCAACTGAAATGTTATCAAGTCGTCTGGGGATCTTGTAGAATGATGTTTTTTTTTTGGGGGGAGAAATTAGAACGTGGGATTGAAACCACAATCAGATTATATATAATCTTATGAAATGGCAGTGCAGGCTTGAAGTGCTAAATGGTTTTCCTGAGTTGTGTTCCACTGAAGTGGGAGTCCTAGCTAGTTTTGTTTCTCCCCTGACCAGCAGCGCTGTAGTTAATTGTAGTGCTCCAATTTCTGCCTTATCTGCATAACTAGAGTTCAAACTTAAGATCAAACTGAACGGTGTAGTTTTGCATCATAACCAGTTGAGCAGTATGGAGTTAAGAATTTTAATGCCAAATTTGTTTAGAGGTCTGATCTTGTAATCATTTTGCATCTTGGCATAAACAAATGCATCTTTTACATGCTTTGATCATAGTATATCGTTAAATTGTTGCAACATAGCTGCATACCTCATGAATGTTATTGACATTTGTCTAAAATGAGCCTCTAAAATTAGAGAATGCTGTTTTTGTGTTTAGGACTACAAAAGCCTTCAGACTAGTACTTTCTGTGCCTACCATTTGGTTGATTTTTATCCCTGTGCAGCAGTTATTATTTCCGCCCACCTGCTGAGAAGAGCAGTAGAATAGAGACTTGTGGTCAACTCGAGCCTTGTTCTGGCAAAATCTACTCTCGAACCCACTATTTGAGATCAGGCTATGCCAAAGAATCCCAGATTCATAAGTTATCCAGGAATTATTTGTAATACCTCTTGTTATGATCACTTCATTTTCCAGCAGTCCACCTAAAGATATCTTATAGCTCTAAGTCTTCATGACCGCTTCCTGAGTTCTGTTTCATAGATCATTTTGCCGCTCAGATATGGGAAAAGGTGCAGGCAATGAACCTACTTCTTAGGTTTGTACAGTGGCTAGTATCTTCACACCACCTGAAACCACCTCATCATTTACCTGCTTGCTGAACATATCTTTAGTTATCATAAATGGTTGGATCAGATCTTCGAAATATCTCACCTGAAAATAAAAATTCAAGGTATTAAATCTATCCTCCTAGGTAAACAAACTTCTGGCAATTGATAATCTTTGTTTTTTTAATCTCCTGAGCAGTGATATTATTTTTCCGGAGCTGGGAGGGCCAGAATTGGAAATTGTGCTTTTAGTGATGTTGGCCCAATGCCGTTTATAACCATTCTTGTTGTGGTTCTAGTTTTGTAATGAATTGTTTAGGCAATAAAGCTCAAGAACTTCTTTCTTCTAACCATGAACTTTCACAATGACTTGGAATAAAAAAGATAATACACTGGCTATATTGCTTTTAGTGTTAGTGCCTTCTCAACCCATCTGATGTAAATACTTAAAAGAACTTTATATTTATACTCAATGTTGCTTTTTTTAATTGTAGTATATTCTGCACACCTTTCCCTTAAATATATTTTCCTTATATTTGCTTGCTGGATTGATTGCAACCACAGGGGAATGCCTTGTTTCCAAGTTTTTGGACTAATCTTTGTCACTGCCTGTTAGAAGCCAACACCTGCCCAGCACGAGTTCAGATTCCTTTTCGCCCCTCTCCTTTGCTATTTTAGATAATCTCCACTCGGTGCCTCCTCAGTCACCACAGGGAGACCCATCTCTGTCATCTGTCACGTGACTCTGCTCATTAGCTGTGACAGCACTACTGATATAAGGAATTTTAATGTTATCTTGATACTCAGAACAAAAGGAAATTTGGTGAAAGGGGCAGTTGAATTCAATAGTGTTTATTATTTTTAAGAGTGAGGTACATTGCAATTTTTAAAAAAAAAAAAGTTGCCTTACTACTGAAAAGAAAAAAGGAAGACTAGTATTATTACCTTGGGATATCCCAAGTGCTTAACAAATCTTGTTTTTTTTATGAAGTATTATCACTGCAATGTACAAAACGTAGCCAATTTGTGTCAAGCCCCACAAGCTTGATTTGCGTGATGCTTAAGGTGTATGTATTGATCAGGGCACCAACTCCTCTTTTTAAAGGGGAAAAAAGTGCCGTGGAGCTGAGGGAATAGAAGTCTCGGGTCAACGTCTCACTGAAAAGACTTCGCCTCTGACAATGCAGTACTCTGTCAGTACTGCATTGGAGTATTGGTTCAGGTTTTGTGTTCAAGAATCTGAACCCAAGACCCTCCTAATTTGTAGTTGAGAATGACACTATTAAACCACAGCTAACACCAAATGTATGCTTTTCTTTACCTGTAGCTCAGGACTTCATACACTGTATCTTGGAGAGCAAGAACTGAACAATCTACTGAAATTAGTATTAACAGAAGGTAAGTGATTAGCTTTTTGTGAAGTATTTACCAGGTGTACATTTAGATTGTTGAGAATGAGGTACATACAACATTTTTCATAATATTAATTTGTATCTTGATATAGGTGTTTAAGTTTTTCTAGCCCTTGCGTTCCCATTTTTCCATCACCCTTTGAAATGCACCATGTTCCCATGAGTGGGTCAAAAGCAATATAGTTCCCTGGTTGTCTCCTTTTAAGTAGTCAGTGGCTCACTGATAGTTTGTCTCGGCTGCTAGAACAGCTCAGGGTGATTGACATCTCTTCACATCTTCCATGGTAAGAGTGGTGGCTACCTGGTGGCTTCTGCAAAGATGTGTTGATATTGGGAACATACCTGTGTGAAAGTCTGGCGATCCAGATCGCTGCTACTTTTTTTTAAGGTGGCTTTTTTTCCCCCTCTGAACCACCTTGAAGTTTTGTTTTACATTGAAGGTATGTAAAGTGTTGGATTGGCTGATAAGCAAGCAATGAGCATAAATTGATTAAATGAAAGTTTCTGCATGGTTGTATTATGCATCCTACGCATTTAAAAGTGCACTTACAATGGGGCAGGCTGACTCAGTCAAATGTAGACTTTTCACTTCTGGTACCAGAGTTAAAGTTTAGCTCCAACAAGGATGAAAATCTCTGAAGTAAGATTGTTACTTCTAGTGAAGGCAAACAGAACAAGGAAAAAAAGTCCCCTTCCTTTGGCACAACTTAATTGGATGTTTTGTCTTCCTTTCATCATAGAATTAATTTAAAACTGATAATCAATGTTGCACTTGTAGACCATTGATTGAAGAATCTCACAAATGATCATGAGTTGTACTGCTTGAGACATTGAAGCAAATTCTCACTTCAATAATTTGTCAATGAAGGAAATTGATGAGAGGGATAGAAGTAATAATTTCCTCCTATAATTAATATCAGCATATCACGGAACAGATGCAAGTAGATGGATAGCACTGATTTTTATATCTCTTGATACACACGTCACCACCTTCTAATAAAACTCTAATTTGGTGGCCTGAGGCTTATTTAAATTTTTTCTTTGTTCAAAGTGGTTGATCTTAGACAGTTCTTTGTTGCAGGTCAGAGAAACAGTGGTCTTTGCCAATTGCGTGATATTATTTTGGTTAATCTGGCTGAACAGCTACAGAACAATCGATTTGGGAGTGAAGATGACGATCACTACAGGTACACTGATTCAGCTATATTTGTATGCTGGCATTCTTCCCACTAAAGAAAATATTTGGGTAAACTGACTGATATAGCCTCGGGATGTATAATGTAACAGGCACAATTAAGAGTTGTACTTCAATTTTGGGTGTAGCAGTGCTTTGCCTTTTGATCAACATTGACAGATGCAGCGAGATAGTACTCAACTGGATTTCAGAGTATACAACTTCAAGAATTACCAATGTGAAAATTTGTTATAATTGTCTCTCAACTTTCTCTTGCACATCCTTCAGAATTTGGAGCAGAAAAGTAGGTGCTCTTTATGTCTTAGAAATAGGTAGAATATTGATACTTGGAGGTCAAAGGACAAATGTCTTTATTTTGAGAATTATGTTGAAAACTTCACCAGAGGATTCCATAGTTCAAATTTTCCCACTGTCCTTGCTATGATGGGCTGCATACTTGTGATAATCGCAAGGAGCAGGAGGGAAGAGTGAGATTTCAAATTAGGTTTAAAAAGTATTGAGGTAAGCATTCAGAGTTGTAGAGATGTACAGCACAAAAACAGAACCTTTTGGTCCAAATCGTCCATGCTGCCCAGATATTCTAAATTAATCTAGTCCTATTTGCCAGCATTTGGCCTATATCTCTGTCAACCCTTCCTATTCATGTACCCATTCAGAAGCCTTTTAAATGTTGTAATTGTACCAGCCGCCACCACTTGTGTCTGGTGCACTAATATCATTAAAATACTTGGAAACACCAGAAGACATAGCAGAATTAGGCTATTCAGCCGTTGAGTCTGCTGCACCATTCAGTGAGATCATGGCTGATCTTATCTTCAACTCCACTTTCCAGGCTTATCCCTGTAATCCACAGTTAACTGATTTTTTTTTTTTAGATCAGTTATCTCTAGTAAGACCATAAGACACAGGTGCAGAAGTAAGCCAAACAGCTCAAGTCTACATGGGCTTCAGAATTCACTCAGAATTTATGTTAGAATCATGACTGACCACCTATATCTCTCTCCCAACTCAACCCACAGCTCCACACACAGTATGCAAGCATATAACGATAAAATGCTAATTAGAGCAGAGGTGGATCATTTGCACCTTGCGTGTTCTCCTCCATTCAATGAGATCATGGCTGGGCTGTTTGTATTTTGACTCCACATTCCCATCTATCTAAACCTTGGATTCAAATGCCTAACAAGAATCTATTTACCTCCACCTTAAAAATATTCAATAACCCCATCTCCACTACCTTCTAAGGGAATGTTCCCAAGTGTCTAAATGCTCTGCCAGAGAAGATTTCTCACCTCTGTCCTAAAAGTGCAACCCCCAATTATAAAACACTGCCTCTTGATTCTGGACTCCCCCATTAGAGGAAGCATCCTTTACTCATTGAAGCCAACATTTCTACATGCTAAGAGTGTGAGATCCCTACGTACACAAAAAGTGCGAGTCTTCCACATCCCAGACCGTTATTCCCTACAATGAAGCCCAAACACTAACTCTGTTTAAATGATTGACTCTGAAGCATTAGTAAAAATGAACCATGCTTTTTGCACCCAGGAGATTTTGAAAGAGCTGAAGATGAAAGTTACTTGGAGAAAATCCTCCAAGGTAACTGTTGCAACAAATATTTTTAGCGTAGCAACAATAATTCCTCTCCTGATTCTCTCACTGGTAGTTTTTTTATAATGAACTTTGCTGAATTGATTAACAACAGAATTAGATTTTATAATAACCACTCGACAGCATTACAATAAATGACATGATGGCCTCAATGCATCCCATCTTTATAAGTCAACCAGTAGACTGTAGTCTTCCAACCGCTTAATAGCTCTGCCTTAAAAGGAAACTGATATTGTTTTGTACCATAAAATCCATGCACTGTGTCTCGTGAGTATATGGGTTGCAGGTTTTGATGTTCATCCCAATTTTAATTTTGTTAGCCTTTGCCTGTGTTTTACAAGCTTTTGTTCAGAATTACAGTAAGTCAGTGTTTATCTTTGACTGTGGTGCCGAGCAGCTGAGGTCTTATCATGCTCTAATGTTCCTATAACACTAATAGCCTAAGTGGAAGAGTGACCATTAAAGCATTCTAATAATGTTGGGGTCAGCTTTGTTGAGGTAGTGGCCAGGATTTTGGTACGTTTGAACAAAGGAATTTGTAGGCCACACCTTCAATATGCCCAATGCATTAATGTTGTGGTTTATCTGTCTCATTTCCTTCCTGGTTCCTGCTTGCCTCAGGCTGAATGATGAACTGCTGCACTATATCCTGAAGATTGTGGTACAGGATTCCTGCATTCTCATCACAAAGTGCCAAACAGTTTCTAAAGAAGAATTTCTCAGGCTTCTTGCTACAGTGCCAGTGAGTGATTAAATATAAACAGCATTAATGTGTCTACTAGCTACTTGATTGTACAGTGTACAGTTAACATGGCTAAGACTGCCTCAGTATTACTAATATCCTTTTATGAAGCTGAGATAACATAGTGTGGAGCTGGAGGAACACAGCAGGCCAGGCAGCATCAGAGGAGCAGGAAAGTT